ACCTCAGGGACAGTCCTGCCTGATCCAGCCACCTCCCACCTTAGGGACAGTCCTGCCCAATCCAGCCACTTCCCACCTCAGGGACAGTCCTGCCCGATCCAGCCACCTCCCACCTCAGGGAGCCAGATGAGGAAAATAACTAAACCCCCAGCCCTGTTTGATGCTTTTGTATCTACCACCTAACTTCTTTCTCTGCTAACAATAAGGCCTTCAGGTTTTCTTTGATCTCTGATAAGTTTGATGATATTACGTGCTGAGGTCTAGGGACGTGTTCCCCAAACTTAGAAATCCACCCCTCAGTCCTGTGCCCCTCGGAATAGCGTTTGCTCTGGCATTCATCTTCCTTGGAAAACCAGCACAGCAGCTCTGTCTCTCCGCAGCCCATGGCTTCTCTTTGGTGCTCTGCGGGTCTGCTGGCACTGGGTCCCAGCACCGATACCCGAGGTCTCCCATCCTGTGGCCTCCGGAGTCCTCCCTCTGCCAGGGGAGGGGCTGCCAGGATACATCTCCAGGTGTCCAGTGCCAGGTGGGGGTGGGGGCAGGAGGGAGCCCCAGCCTGCCACCACATCTGCAGGTAGTGCTGCTTGAGTGACAGGTGTAGTGGATGCCACACCGGCTGCCAATATGTTATGAGACCATGGTAACAATCGCTCATCTCCAGGGAGCGCGCCGCTTCCTTCTTCACTATCAGACATGAAAGAAACAATTTCAGGTGCCAGAAAAGGATATCTGATAAAAGAAAACATTTCAGCTTTCATGGCGCTGGAGTTTGCCCCAAAGCAGTAGCTTTGATATATATTTTTAAGTCTCTTTCTTTATGTTTACAATTAATCCATGATTATCTACAATCTTTTGACCTATTGGGTCCTAGTAGACGGGTATTGGTTTCTTTTTTTCAGAAGCATCGTTGTTGTAGAAATTCACTTGAGTATCACGCACAGCGGCATGTGCTTGGTGTTTCACCATTTCCAAATGACTTTCCGACCGGTAACCGAATTTTGCTTCAGTTAACCCTCACTGCAAACCTGAGTGTGGAAGAATTACAGGACGATTCGCTTCTGTAATGAATGATACTACGTTTCATTCAAAAGGAACACTGAACGCACAATTATTCCTTGAAAACTTCTTGACATCCTTTTGGCAACAATTTTATGCTACTCTACCTGTCAGTGGAAACTCTTGAAGAAACAGTGCGGCAGTTAGAACGACAGAGGTCTCTGAGGCTGTTTCCCATTTTTTGATGGAGTAATGTCCTCAATAACCGTAAGGAAGATATTAGCAGAGTTCAAGAGATTCCTGCTCCTTCCTTCCTTCTCAAATCCTTTCTGCTGTTGGAATCTGCCTTGCATAGAAGAATTCACAACAAATAGCACATTTAGGCAAAAGAAGCACCGACTTTGTTTCAATTTTCTATTTCTTGGGGTTTCAGATGTAAAGCATCACACAAGGGGAAATGTATACCTATGCCTATGTGCATATCCATATATTCTATACTGTACCCTCATTATATCATGCCTTTGTTCTAATTTATTAAAATCAAAAGCCTCAAACTGTAGCAGCAATGAAAGAAGCCAGGAATGCTCGCTGAAGAGCAGGTGGATTTGGAAGACTCAGGTATTCATCACAGGTCACAGAGTGCAGGATTGGACTGCAGGGAGCACCAAGCTGCCCCACTCCTGGGATGAGGGGAGGTGGCCGCCTTTCCCAGGAGTGTGGCAATAGGTAGCTCACATCCCATCGGTTTCAGGACCTAACGTGCCTCAGGCACCCTGCACCCAATGTGATCACAGGAGCTAAGGGCAGGAGCAGACAGGATGCGGCCACACTGCATACACTCTGGAAGGCTGTGGAAGGGAAGGTGTTCTGTCCACACAGAGGCTGACTGACTGCAAGGCCCCCTGCAGGGGGCAACTTGAGGAAGTGAAGAGGGTGTAAGTGATCTCAGGCCCCTGGGAGAGTGCCATCCTCCATTTGAGCCATGGATCAGAAAGAAGCAAAGTGCTTGTGTCTGGGGGAAAAGAAGTCCCCAGCTAGCTGAACACCAGTCTCTTAGTCTCTGAACCTGATTATTTACAGCTGCAAAACTGGCAGGTAACCACTTTAAATGTCTGCACCTCTTTACTTCGGCTATGACTGGACCAAAGGTGAATTGTGAGAAAAGTCCATGAAGATGGACACACGCCACTTAGCTTCCCCACCTCTATCCCTCCCCGCGGGTGGAGCTTTGCTGTCCCCAGCCGTCCGGAGCCAGGGGTGCAAGCACAATGAGGCCTGGGGGTGCTCCTCGAAAGGCATACAATGATTCATTTAATTAACTGCCCCCAGAGGAATTAATTCTCCTCCTAGGCTTAGGTGGCTTCTGGGAAGATATTTTCCTGATTCTCGCTCCTCCTAGGACAGGTCCAGCCCATTCACTGTTAGGTTTTTAAAAACAAAAGCAGTTGACTTTAGAAATGTGGAGGGAGGGAGTGTAGGGAGGAGTGAGGACGAGGGCTCCTGCCTTTTCTTCACTGGGACCACACCCTACACTGACCAGGCCTGTGTCCCTGTTCCCAAGAAGAGGCTCACGAACAATCAGGCAGAGCCACCGCCGTGCCACGTTCTCAGGTTCTGTGCAGCAGGTGTACTCTGCTCATCCCAAGACAGAGTCCAGCTAACCCTGGCTCTGCAGCTCTTCACACAACCACAGGTTTCTCTCTCTCTCTCTCTCTTTCTTTTCAGAAAAGCTCTCACTCCATCTCCCAGTCTTTGGAGTGCAGTGGCATGATCATGGCTCACCGTAGCCTTCAACTCCTGGGTTCAAGTAATCCTCCTGCCTCAACCTCTCAGGTAGCTGGGACTACAGGCGCATGCCACCATCCCTGGCTAGTTTTTAAAATTTTGTAGAGGCAGGGTCTCATTATGTTGCCCAGGCTGGTCTCAAACTCCTGGGCTCAAGGGATCCTCCCGCCTCAGCTTCCCAAAGTGCTGGGATTACCGGCATAAGCCACTGTGCCCAGCCCTGATGAGCAGGTAGAGCTCCCTGGAAGACCAGATGAGGTCTGTGTGGGATGAGGCTGAGCTTCCCTCAGATGCCCAGTCATCTCCCAGAGAAATGGCCTTGATTTGTGCTCCAGCTGGATTCCAGTGAAGGGGCTCATGTTTTCTGCTCCAGCATCATCCTGCCCCTTTGCTTCTTGGCCCTCTCTCCAGCGGGGCAAGAACACGTGAATTCCGTGTGTTCCATCCCTCCCCTCTGCCTGCCTGGCAGCCCAGCTTCTTCTCTTCCACCATGGCTTCCTTGTCTTTCTGTGAGGCTCTCACTGCCATCCAGCCCTCCAATTATCAGACAACTTTCATTTCGCCTTAAACTTAATGCAGTTAGAAAGGACTTATAAAATTAAAAATAAAACTGAAGTGTTTAAAAATCCATTTTGTGCCTGTAGCTCCCGATGATACCTTGGCTTTTCTGGCTCCCCTTTCTTCCCTCCTGTCTTCACCAGTGCGGTGGCTGGTGCCTGTAATCCCAGTGCTTTGGGAGGCAGAGACAGGAGAATTGCGTAAGGCCAGGAATTGGAGATCATTCTGGGCAATACAGTGAGACCCCTTTTCCACAAAAAAAAAAAAAAAAAAAAGTACAAAAGCTAGCAGGCTTTGGTGGCTCATGGGATTTGAGCTGCCATTGGGCAGCTACTTTGGAGTCCAGGGTGGGAGGATGATTCCAACCCAGGAGTTTAAGGCTGCAGTGAGCTATGATCACACCACTGCACTCCAGCCAGGGCACCAGAGTGAGACCTTGTCTCCAAAAAATAAAACTAAATAAAAATTAAAATAAAAATCCATTTTGCTTCAAGAACATTGCCTAATGACAGCAGTCCAAGACAGTGAGGAGGAGCAGACTGTTTATGAACAAATTCAACTCCCAGAGCTCCTGTGTGCCCCTGGGCAAGCTGAGACACTTCTCTGTGCCTCAGCTTCTCCATGCACAAACTGCAGCTGGCAGTAGCGACCACCTCAGAGGGCCGATGGCAGCTCAAATCCCCGACCGGCCCTGGGCCCTGACGAAGGAAGGCTCTGCAGGCTCTGCGTCTCTTCTTTTGGATGTTGGCTCTTCTGCTGGCATTGTGCTTAGAAAGGCACGGACAGGCACTGACACTGGCTGAGCAGATGGTGCTGGCAGAGTGGATCGGGCTCAGGGGTGCTCAGATGGGGCCCACCTCATAATCCAGGCACCCTGTCATCCAGGCACCCTGTCACCCAGGTACCCTGTCATCCAGGTACCCCATCATCCAGGCACCCCATCATCTAGGCACCTCATCATCCAGGTATCCCATCAACCAGACACCCCATCATCCAGGTGCCCCATCATCCAGGTACTCCATCATCCAGGCACACTGTGATCCGGGCACCCCATCATCTAGGCACCTCAGCATCCAGGTATCCAGTCAACCAGACACCCCATCATCTAGGCACCCTGTCATCCAGGCACCTCATCATCCAGGTACCCCATCATCCAGGCACACTGTGATCCAGACACCCCATCATCCAGGCACCCATCATCCAGGCACCCCATCATCTAGGCACCTCAGCATCCAGGTATCCAGTCAACCAGACACCCCGTCATCCAGACACCCTGTCATCCAGGCACCCTGTCAAGCAGACACCCCGTCATCCAGGCACCCTGTCATCTAAGCACCCCATCGTCCAGGCACCCATCATCCAGGCACCCCATCATCCGGGCACCTCAGCATCCAGGTATCCAGTCAACCAGACACCCCGTCATCCAGGCACCCTGTCATCCAGGCACCCGGTCATCCAGGCACCCATCATCCAGGCAGGCGTCCACATCCTACATGTTAAGCAGGTTTCATGTATCAATTCAAAAAGTTATTATATGAAGGAAACACATTATATATAGGGGAAACTGTCCTAATTTCTAAATGATACACCCTTCCTATTTTTAGATTTTTATGACTTTGCATCATTCTCTCCTGAGCTTGATTAATATGGCAAAAGTCTAGTTTTGCACACCCTGTTGCTTTTATTTAATATAAAGGGAAAGATCATAAAGTGTGAATGATCTTTTGTTCTGAGTTGTGTGTGTGTGTGTGTGTGTGTGTGTGTGTGTTTTCCTTTTTCTTTTTCTTGCTTACTCCTGGTGGAAACTTCCTTTTGCCAAGATCCACTTGGGAAATTTCCATTTCAGGAACTTTTTATGAGGCTGCAAGAGACAAATGAGGTGATATGAATAAGTTAACGTCATATTTGCTGCTTCATCACAGTACGGAGCATAAGTAATATCTGCCATTTGACTTGTGGTTGATGCAATACTTCATTCGTTGAGATTTTGTAAAGCGTTTACAGATCCTTAATCAAGAGGCCAAACTGGTAGAACTTAGCTGATAATAGGCGTGGATATTTAACCTGTATCTAAGTCAGTTTGTGGAATGACAGCGGACCTCTTAATGGAAAGAGGAAACCAGAGCATGACATTATAAAAATGCAGGGCATTATGACTCAAGCACAGTTTGCAAAATTGGACTTATTACCCTGGAGTATTTTGGCTAGACCCAAATAGAACATACTGAACTGATTGTCAAGGTTGAAAATACCGTACATTCATTCATCTTTGCAAATTTGGCCACCCTGACTGCCGCTGACGGCCTAAGGGCTTTCCTCTTCCTGGAAACAGGAAGGTATTCACTGAGCATCTTGATTGGTATCATTTTCCTCTGTTTGTGGCACTCCTCCTGGTACGCAGCTTCTACACACCTACTCTTTCAGGGAGGCTGGTACCTCATCTTGTTTAAAGGGAGATCATCTCAGGAGAGCACCTTTTCATCGAGACTCTTCTGGAGGAGCAGCCTCATCTTCCCCTGCATGGGGACTGCTTAAGATCCCTGGCCTGGGAAGCTGCTGTCCTCCACTCAGTGTCCCCACTGCAGTGGGTGGTCCAGGCGTGGACTGCCAGGTGTGGACTGCCAGGCATGGCCCCCCAGGCACCTGGTGCTGGCCCCTCTTCCCTCCTATCCAGCAAGGGCACGGAAGTGAATCTACGTGAAGATGTGAGTGCCACGTCCTCTGTCCCCTGGATGAGATAGAGAACTGGGAGAAGCCTAACCTGAGGTTTCCGTGACAACCATGGAAGCCTCCAGAAACTTCAGCACCAACTCCCTCTCAGAACCTTCAGGTTGCCAAAAAATATACTGAAACGGCAGCTGAAGGAAGAGCAGGAACGATGCGCTCTAAGGCAGGGACTCTCGAGCTTCTCCCCCAGGTGAGAAGGGACTCTGGGAAGCTAATCGTGTGTCGACCTCGTGAGGCGTCGTAGGTTATTAATAACGCTGCTGAAAGTAGGACTGAATGCCTGGAATGCCCTGAAATGCTGCGATTTAACTTACCCAGGAATCTAAATGCAAATCAGCCCTATTCACCACTACATGCGAAGAGCACGTCTGCAGTTGTAAATGCTTTGGATCTCCTTTCTCTTATCTTGGGGCTGTCAGTTTTCCGATTCATCCCTGGTGGAGAATGCATCTTCCATTCCCACTCTGTTCGGGCGGTCGGAAGAGACTGCTTTCTCCCCGGGGAAATGGCTTCGGCAGCACAGCCAGACTCCTGGGGTGGATGGAAGGGAGATTTGAAGCAGTAAAAGAACCATAGCAAAAGCTGGAGGTATCACCCACTTCAAAACTGTGGAGCAAAAGCACGGGTCTCCCCCAGCTCCTGCAGCTCCTGATGATACCGTGGCTTTTCTGGCTCTCCTCTCTCCCCTCCGGTCTTCACCATCTCTCCTTGGGGATGAACACCTCTTTTTCCATCATCCCCTTTCCCTCTGAGTCATGCTACCTCCCTCCAGCCGGCATCCTCGCGTCTCCTGTCCGGTTTTATGTGACCGTCTTCCAACTAACCAGGCAGCCATGCTTCTAAAGACGGGCAGATTTATAGGAAGAAATAAAAGCAATCCAAAGGATAATACCAAACAGATTGGAGAGCCGAGGGAGTTATTAGGAAGCAAACCCGGGCAGGGCTGTGCAGGTCCCTGCACTTGGCTCCCGCTCTGCTCTCCATGCCAGTGCTGGGAGCTCCTGCTCTTCCTCTAGCCCCCCTTTTCCTTTTCAAAATAAAAATAGAGAGAAAATAACCCACAAAACAGAGCTTCCATGTATATGTTTTTTCATGTTTTAGAGGAGAAAGGGGAACCCCCCCCCCCGAAAAAAAAAAAAACAGGGCATTGTGTGAGAGAAAAGTGCTCTGCCGCGAATCGGCAAGGGTTTATTATTCTGAGCGGCACTCAATCAACTGTGGCCCCATGAACAGAGAGTAATGCTGGCGAAGCGTCCTGGGGGCTTTTTTTCTGTGTGTGAGTGGTATCCATCTGTCAGCTGTCAATGCCAGTGAGAGATATACAGGGCTGTCACTTCTCGTCAACCAGCATTTGTGAAGCCTTTTGCAGCTGCTCCACAACCACATCCTGTCCTTACTGAAGGCCGGGAGGAGCCTCCGAGACGATTGTGCTGGCCAGGGTGGAGGGAGAAAAGAGATGTCAGGGCTGCTCCAGGATAGCAGTGTCGCCCCGTCAAAGACAGAAGCACGAGCTTCATTTGTTTTCAGAAAAAAAAAAAAAAGAAAGAAAAGAAAAAGGAATAGCATTAAAAAAAATAATAAAAACTCTGAGAAGGTAATGTTACTACACTTTGTCTCCAGAAAATCCTATGTGGGTCCTAGGGCCTGTGAAACCCGTAACAGCAAAGAAAATTTATATCTCAGTAAATGAATACATTCAAGGCAGAGATTGCAACACATATTTTTTAAATCAGCGGAATATAAAGAGGGCATACGTTTTATGTTCTCCCCTTATATAAATTATGTGGCTCTGAAGATCTTGCATATGCAAGTTTGTATAATGGAATATATATTTAATATGTGTTTGTAGTAAAAGATGAACATGAAGCACAGACATGTCTGTACTATAATAATGCAGATGTTTAAAAAGTGGGTTAATTTTGATATGGAAACACTCTATTAATCATTACTCCAGTGTTCCACTGGACTTTCCAATATGCTTATTTATAGGGTGACTCCCGCTTAATTGAATTATTTTAAAGTAACCATGGTGCTGGTTTTGTGCTCCTTCTGCAGAGCCCGCTTTGTACAACACCTGCCTCAGGAAAACGGCCCCTACTCACCCTCAGTGCACTCGCTGGCCACAGAGAATAATGCAAAACAGGATGTCAATGTGCTCTCCCTGTAATGTGCTCTCTGTCCTAAGGTATTGTAGAATTTGATTATGTTTTCTGTTTTCTGAAATTGTGGCTTGGACACCGTTCTAGTGAGAAAAGAAGTCAGATATTTTTAGCCAACATATGTCATAGATTCTTATTTTAAAAATAAGGAGCCAAGAAATTTCTTGGAAAAAGAAATTAATTGATATTAGTGCCACTGGAATAGAGAAAAGAAATGCAGAGGGCGTGGGTGCTGAGAACGCAGCAGCCCTTCTTCAGATCCCGAGGACAGCCATTACTCGGAGCACACAGAGAAGTTACGGCTATTGCAAGAGAATGAGTGTCATTGAGCACATCGGCTAAGATATCTTGGGGAGAAAGATCTCAGCTGTAAAGTTATTATTCCTGTCATATAAAAGCGCACTCTTCATGTAACTCTTCAGAGTTCGACTGGGGAGAAAGAAGAGGAATTGATAAACCATGCCTACTCATATTCAGTGCCAGAGGAACCTGCAAGATAAACCCTCATTCAGTTTCTTCATTCAAAGAGGCTATAATGAGGTAGTAAAGACTATGTAAATGCATGAAAAAATTAAATAATCCAGGTACTTACAGGAGTATTCGAGCACAGTTGAAGAGAAGAGGCAATAGAGTGCAAGTTACATTTTAACTGAATAGATCAGAGATAACATTTGCTCCTTGTGTTTAAGAGGTCAGTTCAGATGAAAGTCACAAATAAAACCAGGTCTGGAGGGGTTGGAGGGAGCCATTAGTCTCACTGAAGGGAAGAAAGCGTCTTAGGCATGACTCTGTTTCCTGCTGTGGCTGTAGCAAATCACCACGCACTTACGGCCTTTAAAAACACAAATCCATTATCTGATGGTCCTGGAGGTCAGAAGTCCTACTCCAGCCGTCGGCAGGGCTGTGATCCTCCTGGGGGATCTGTGAGGAATCCCCTTCCTTGCCTTTTTCAATGTCTAGGGCTGCCTGCTCTCCTTGGCTTGTGGCTCCCAAATCTGCTAGGCCCAGCGTGGCATCTTCCAATGCCTCTTTCCTGCTGTCTGTCTTCACATACCCTTCTCCTTCCTCCCTGGTCACATCCCCTCAATCCGTTCTCTCCCTTTCACCAACCTGCGTTCCTCTTATGAGAACCCTTGTGATTACCATTCAGAGCATCACCAGTGGGACCCTAAAGGGCATCATGAAGAGGAGCGTAGCCCCCAGCAGTGCTTGGCTTCGCCCAGGAAAAACACTGAAGGGTGAGCTGGTGGCAGAAGAAAACAGTGCATTGAAGCTGCAGTGTGACGTCTCCGTGACTGCTCCTGTAGAGCAGGTCACACCGGAGGCGGAGAGTAGCAGTTCAGTGCAGTTCTGCAGGCATATTTATACCTATTTTCAGTTGCATACAGATTTAGAGGTGGTTTATGCAGAAATTTCGAGGAAAAGGTGGTAACTTCTGGGCCTTTGGGTCATTGCCATGGAAAAGGGCAGTAACTTCTCGGTGTTGCTATGGTGATGGTGAACTGCCATGGCACCCTGGTGGGCGTGGCTTCTGGAAAGCTGCTTCTGCCTCCTTCCTGGTTTAGCTAGTCCTCAATTTGGTCCAGCATCCAAGCCTCACCTCTGGAGTTGAGTACGGCCTCCCACCTGCATCATCAATTACATTATCAATCAGAGGATGTCAACCTGGATAATCCGGGATAATCTTCCCCATCTCAAGGTCCTTAACTTCCTAGTATCCTCAGATAAAATAGCATATTCGGGCTTTGGGGGAGCAAGGGACATTATCCAGGCAGCTGTAGGCAGCAAAGATTTTGGAGCCAGAGCTGAGATGAAGAATCCCAGGGCACAGCTGGAGGAAGCCTGACTGGAGGGTGGAAGGAAAGTGGATTGAGACAAGGACTGGAAACACACTGGGACCTCACAGGGACTGTTGAATTTCAGCCATAGGATATGAAGAATATAGAATGTTTTACATCAGTTCAGTGTGGGGAAAACTTTCTAATAAAGAAATATATACAGAGATAGAATAGGGAAATCATGAGTTATCTGACAGCAGAGATGTTTGGAAAAATATGGGTAATACATTTAGATAGAACTTTAAAGATCCTTCCAATTCTGAGATTCTAAAAAACTTTTATTATCACAAATTTATCACCTAGGAGATTAGCCTTAATTCAGGATCATGGGTTTTACAAGGGTTAAAAGAAGTCTACTGGTCTCTCTTGAGGCTAGCTTTACGAGACTGATAAAATTACACTAACAGCAGTAAGATTATATGTTCACATAGTTCCTAGGAATGAGAAGCAAGATTTATTTTAAATTTAGACGTATCTGAGTGAACTTTGAAACACTTTGAGAGTGGTTTCTACTCACCTTAAGTAAGTATTAACCAATACACGGTACAATGAGATGAACCATGACCCCATCAATCATCTTGACCTGTTGATATTTTGATTGTTAATTCAGTAAATTTTTTCAAACCCAAGTGAGTCAATAAAGAAGATGTCCAGAGATGAAGAAGGAAAAAGAATGATTGCATGTGTACTGCATAGGTATCGGTAATGACTCCTGAACAGAGCCGTGTGTGCTAGACAGGTTATCGGTAGACTTCTCAACACGGACAGCTGTGGGCTCTGCATTCCAAGTAACAGGTGTACATGAAACCTGTGTTCCGCTGGGGTCAGTCCTTCAGAGGGACCCTCCAGAGGCTGTACTGAGCTGTGGCCTCAGTTTACTGAAGGAATATTGATGGGATTACAACAGGTTGCCTTGTAAAAATTATTCTTTCCTTGGGGGCATAAGAGAAATGGGCTTCTGTGGAGGTCGGGAAAAGCAGGGAGGGGTGATGAGGAGAGTTATCATGATTAAGAAGCCCAGGAGGTGAGGGGATCTTTATAAACTTAGTTATTCTCAAGGATCGAAGGCGGCAAGGCCCAAGTAAATTGGGTCTGGAGAAGGCTGTTCCCACTAGGTGCCCAAGAGGGCATTCCGAGGACCAGTGCAACAAAGAATGATGACTTCTCTCTTATTACTTGGAATTCACTAGATTGCATAGTGTTTAAATGACCTATCACTGTTAATCCTACCTCTTCCTTTCCTTCCTCCCTTCTTCCCTTCCTTCCACCTGCCCTGTACGTTGCTGCTTCATGGAGACAAGCATGTCCCTTAAATCACACATCTTTCTGTGTCTTTTGTGGGACTGTGGGTTATATATCCAACCTGCTAAGAGGCAGGATGGATGCAATTTATGGTTAGGAGGTGGGCCTAGAAATGGATGATGATTATCAGAAAGTTTCGGCTAATAGGAGACAGTATTTTAGAATGTTTGAGTTTTTGTTGCATATATGTGCACCGTAATATCTAAGGTGATGGCCAACTGGACACTGTTAAGATGCATTGTGTGGAAAATGCAGTCTTCGCTGCTTTTCGTTTGCAATAAACCCACAAATTTATTAATGAGCAAAACCCTCATCATCAGGTATGCTTCGAATCTTAAGACTCTAAGCATGAGGGGACAGTCAGCAAGTTGCAAACCTTTGGCAGAAACAGTCACAAGCTATAATGAGATGCAAGCTTGGGATGAAAAAAAGACAACAAGGTGTGTTTTGTGTACTGCCATTTTATTGGTAAAATATAGCTAAAAGAACAAAATTTTGACAGGGATAAAATTTTCCAACCAGCAGTGGCACAATTACAGCTTGGAGATTTTGTCAAACATCAGGAGACCATTAAGAAGCAGGCCTGGTCACTGCACACCAAAGAAAACACAGTCACAAAAAAATACCTTGTCAGGTTGAATTTCCTTCTGCTCCAGATATTAAGCATCTGAGAATTCTCTCCCTAGGAGAGGTAACAAAAGATAATGCATTAGAATAGCAATAATAATACTTCCCATAATTATAAGTTCTTTAAGTTCTATCCAAGTTTCCAAATATTCCAGTTAGTGTAGTGAAGCTCTGAGAAATCCCATGAGAGGGTGCAGAAAGGTCCAGGTTGGGATCACTGACTATGGTAGCCTTTTACACTTCTCTTCTCCATGAAAATGCTTCGTTGGAGATGGATAGTGCAAAAAAGGTTTTCCTCAATTATCTTGGCCCTATTCTCTTGTTTTTCTAAGTACACACTCTCACCTTCATGGTGCATGTATACGTGTACATGCTTCAAGGCCATAGGGAGGATATGCCAAGGGAAGGTGGAGAAAGATGAACATCTTGAAACAAGGCCACAGTCAAAGGGCCAAGGGGGAGCCCAGAGGTCCACAGAAACCAAAGGGGTGGGGAGGGTCAGAATCACATCTGGGTAGGGGCGAGAACACTCCACTTAGGATCCAAGTGCCTTGCCTTGAGTTACAAACCTCCATGTGACCTCACTTCACTTATTTTTCTTATCTCATTTTCTCCCCAACACTGGGATTCAGACTTTTGCTCTATTTCTAAAGCTTATCAAACTTGTTCCCACCAAGGAACTTTCTTCTGACAGGTCAAAACTTCCTAAACTAGGAATAGGACCTTGTGCCTTTCAGAGCCTAGAGTTCACTTTAGCTTCCTGTAGCTCTTACACCTTCTGACACTGAGGTCTCAGCCTAAGTGTCACTCCGTGTTACAACTTCCATTGTTGGTCAAGATAGAGTTGCAAAAACTCGATTTATTTTCTCACCAGAAACAATGAAAAAGTAAGTTAAGTACAGAAAAAGATGTATTTAAAACAATTTTAAAGAAACTAGACATCATGCAACAAAGGAAGAGTCTCTCAAGAGACCAGGAACGAGTGAATTGGGCTTTCTGACAGATGCAACCAACTGCCGAAAAAGAGTTTCCAGGTCATGATACAGAGAGCAGGAACCAGAAGGAGCCCAGATGACACCCTGAGTTGGGAGACAAAGTGAAATTCAGGAGAGAATTAGGCAGCCAGACTCATAGGACAAATTTCTAGAAAAGAAAGCTTCTCAGAAAAAGAACCCAAGAGATCTGTGTGGGGTCTCCCTCAGGTGTTTGTCAAAGTTCATTTGTGTAAGGACACTATGGAAACCATCAAAACATACTCTTATTAGCAAAATGGATAAATTAGATTTAAAAATTCAAAACTTTTGGTCTTCAAATAGCACTTAAAAAATAGAAACAAGGAACAGACTAGAAAAAAATATTTGCAAAACACCTATTCTGCAAGATACTTGTATCCAAACTATACAAATAAAATCTCGTACTTCTCAATCATATGAAGAAAAATAATCCAATAAAAAAAGGCAAAAATATTTCTGTAGATATTTCATCAAAGAAAATATCTGAGTAGTGAATAAGTACATGAAAAGATGATCAGCATTGCATTAAGGGAACACAAAACCACAGATAATATCATTTCATATCCACTAGAATGGCTACAATTTTACTTAAAGGCATATAATTTTTAAAAAAATGTTGACAAGGATGTGAAGAAATACATCCCACACATATTGTTGGTGAGAATTGCAGCCACAATGAGAAACTGTTTGGCAGTTTCTTCAAAAGTTAAATATAAATTTGTAATATTACTCATCAATTCCACTCTTAGTTATTTACCCCAGAGACATGAAAACACACATTGACACAGACTCACAGGTGAATGTTCTTTGCAGGAATCTATAATAAAGTAGATTAGTATTTGCCTGGGGCAAGAAACAAGGATTAATAGTGAATGGTCATAAAGAACTCTATTAGACTAGTGGAAATGGTCTGAAACTAATTTATCGGCTGGGCCCGGCTTATCCCAGAACTTTGGGAGGCTGAGGCATGTGGGTCACTTGAGGCCAGGAGTTCGAGACCAGCCTGGCCAAAATAGCAAAACCCACACCTCTACTAAAAATACAAAAATTAGCTAGGAGTGCTGGTACATGCCTGTAATTCCAGCTACTCAGGAGGCTGAGGCAGGAGAATCACTCGAGCCTGGGAGGTGGAGGTTGCAATGAGCCAAGATCACACCACTGTGCTCCAGCCTGGGCCACAGAGAGAGACCCTGTCTCGAATAACAAACAAATAAACAAATAAAAAGCTTAATTTATGATGATTGTGGCTTCAAAACTTGTTCAATTTACTACAAATTATTAAAAATTCTATACTGGAAGTTAGTAAACAATATAATGATATATTAGGTTGGTTCAAAAGTAGTTGTGGTTACTAATATATAGAGCGGGAACAGTAGAATCACTAACACATGGATGAATATAGTGCCTCTTCCCGACAGTCAGACTGGACCTTGCCACAGGAATTGGAAATAATTAATCTTCTTATAAA